AAAGAAAGCATGTATAGTCAATCATGTTGCTTGATTTCCAAAATTTAATGAAACCAAAAGGTAGTGATCAACTGAGGCTGCATATATGAACAAAGAAGTCGAAATAGAAATTAAGACACGCAAAATTAAAGGGAAAGATGCAAAATTCATTCTTTCCACGTTGTTCTAATCTTCCGACAACGATTAACTTTCATATGATCATATACTACTACTGATCTCTTGATTGATTTGTTGGATCATAATCTTGCCAATATTGTGAAGGGCTTACACTTGATGAACTTCCCATATCCGTTGAAGATGAACTAGTACAATTCAAATCATTCATATCCGTTGTTGACATCCTGCGCTCATTAGCACCTTGAAGAAACTGTGTGTAATCAAGGAGATTTGGATATGTGCTCTGTGATGGAGGTCGAAGAGGAGGTGACTGATGAGAATTTGGTAGAAAAGTAGGTGGCATTTGTAATTGTGGACGAGTGATGAAATAACCTAATTCCGTCCTCCCTTGAACTCTTTCGGGGAAATTGAGCTTTGCTTTTGTTCCTTTAAACCGAAGAGCTGCCTCATCGTATGCAAGTGCTGCTGCTTCAGCTGTCTCAAATGTTCCTAACCACACTCTTGCCGCCTTTTGTGGATCGCGTATTTCAGCAGCCCACTTGCCCCAAGGTCTTTGCCTCACTCCTCTATAGTGTCTCCTCCTTTGGTTCCCTTCATTACATAAACAACAATTTAGGTTTTCCTAATTAAGCAAGTACTTTTATACATAAGTTCATTATTCTACGTACTAGGTTTTATCAACTAAATTTATAATCTCGAATCAAAATCATGAAGATCCACTACATTGAATTCTTAAACTGATGATGAAAAAAATTAGTTTACGACCTGGACAAAAGATGCAACGAGCCACAAGGCTTCCCATATATAGCAATATATGTATATGTATCTATAGAACGTTAAATCCTTTGGTACGTTCCCATTATGGTTATGAAGATGAATACATGATCGTATACTAGGTTTAATTAGAGCAAATCAAGATTACGTAAAGTGAACTGTACCAAAGATCTGTAATTTGAGTGATTGTACAATACAAATTGGTTAATTACATATGGACGAATTATATGTGGAGCAAACGGATTGAAGACAATAATGAAGATGATGGCTTCCTAATTAACACTTATCCATTTGGTCCTATATATCCCTTGGTGAACCCTAGTTGTATTAAGAAATTAAGTTAAATGGCTAGCCAAATAACTACACTTAATGTTACATAATAGCTAAAATGAGCCACGATATGGATGCCATACAATGAACTCAATTCAACTCTACCCACGTCATCATTACAATAACCAATCCTTAATTTTGCGACTACTTAATGGACAAGTGTAGAAAGTTTTACCTGGTTCTTGAACATGTTGTGCTTGGTTTGGGGTGAAGGAGATATCACTGCCACCGCCACCAGTGGTGGTAGTGGTACCGATGACCTGAGAAAGAGCAGATACGATGGCAGACATATCCTGTTGCGATCTAGGTGAGTAAACTGGGAATATGTCCGGTTCCTCATCTTGTTCGTATTCTTCTGGGTTGTCCTCCGATTCTTCGGCCGGAAGGGCCCTCTTCCCATATCTCTGGTGATCCACCTTGACCAGTCTTTAGAGAGCTTTAGAAAGAGAGAGAGAGAGAGAGAGAGAGAGAGAGAGAGAGAGAGAGAGAGAG